ATCCAAGCAACCTAAAATAAAAAAAATTGTTTATTTAACACTAAATTAAGAATTTATCATTTCTAAATTCTTACCTTTGGAGATAGGTATATATTATCTGGAGCTTCCAACAAAAATTCCTGAATTTGGGATTTCTGCAGTACTCGGGATTTTCTGGCACGATAACCATCTGATTGACGCTTTAAAAAGGCACGCAGTTTTAAATATTTGGATGTATTCATAGTATTGTTACTTTTCAATGTAGTCTTCAACATAGAATATGTAGACCATAAGGTCGAAGATATCAATTTCTTAGCTAATTCTGCAAAGTACGCCAGTAAAACGTTTTTTGAAAATGGTCCGATTTTCTTGTTATTGCGATAATCCATAAATTTTCTATAACATATTTCATACAATTTTCTGGATTTTGTTGGCAATAAATTATATTCTCCATCTTTTGCCATTTCTTTAATTTCGGGAGGTGTTAACATTTCTTCATCACTTTCCATTATTTTAGAAAATATCTCTAAAAACAGATTAATCTCTTCTCCAAACAACTTAATCTTAAGATAAACGGATAAAAAATGGCGATTTTCAACTAAACAATTCAGAAAAGGTACATAACCCAGACTTTACTTAGCAACGGCAATGGTAATGCGATTTAAACAGGCCCATGGAATCCACTAACCTTCATCTCATGGACAATCAATTTATAAAGAAAATTGAAGCAAATTGAATGTAACAGTGGTGTCTTATTTTTCGGTAGATATTAATATGTATGTATATTGGTTAGTAACCTTCAAAATATTTAATAGGTATTTTAGTATCTATTTTAAAGAATTCGGGATATTTAAAGTTAATGCCCTAGTCATAGGAGAGGATTGGGATACTTTAAAGGTGTTTCTGTTTGTATAAGAAAAGTGAGGGTTTCTTTCTTTTATCTCTACAGGCAGTGTCCTAAAAAATTTTTAAACAATAAAGAAATAAATTTAAAGTATTTCAAACAATAGATCTTTCATTGTTACTTTTCAATATCAAATTTTGAATTTGTAAAATTATTAACAGATCAACGATCTGGTAATCATTTAATCTTGGCCTTCCGCCAGACGCTCTCATTTTTTTACCACTAAAAAATGATGAATATCAAAATAAATTCTACTCGAATTGAAATGATCTTTGTTATTACCAAAATATATCTTTGATATTTGATGTAATATAATTAATTGATCATTTATTTTAATTGAGATACATTAAAATGTAGAGAAGATGTTAAATGTAGCTAACTAAAAAAATATGTCTAGCGAGCCATCGAGAAAAATCATAATTGAAGTTGGCTGTAAAATTTATATATTTTCTGTTGGTACTTTAGACATTTCCACAAAATGACATTTATTATTTAATATTTTAATGGTAAACAAAGTTTATTACCTCGAAAGTATACTGCAACAAACAAAGAAACAATTCATTTAAAATCGTAATTCGTAAAAACGTTATGCAACATTTGTAAGGAGTTGTTGATTTCTTTATACTTTTTTGCTATGCGATTTCTCAATTCTTCCAATTTATGAATAAGCGTTGAAAAAATTAAATCCAACAAATTCATAAAACATTAATAATCTTTTCTAAACCCTTTGACTTTCCCTTCGTTGACATTCCTCTTCAAAAATTCAAAAATGTCAATAAAAACAAAATTGTTTCTGACTACTCCAATTTTTATACTATCTTAATATCGCTGCTAATATATAATTTTGATAACCAAATTTTCTCTGATGTATTCATTATATATGGTCCGTTTATTTAAACATTTATAAATTTAAATTTCAAGACTATAAAATTATACTACCCTCGTCTTGCCATCATGAACTAGTCTGAATTTTTATTTTATGTTTTATTTATGTAATAAGTTCACAGAATTTATGTTAATACAGGGTGTTCCATCTCAGATTAGCCACCCCGTATATTTCTTATCCCATAGCAATTGGAAAAATTTCCCGAAATACATCGGATGATTTTCTTTGAGGGACATCTTCTGACGTATATTTGAGGCTTGAACAAGCAATCCCCTATAAGGGGGCGCTTCAACCCCTCAAAATTGAATAGGGAAGAGGGGTTAGGTGATACTTCATCTGTAAGGTCTTGGTAGCCTCTTTACAACGGTGTATGAAAAAATCACATTCTTAAAAAAAATTAATTGCTTTATCACGCTTACAATTAAAAAAATCTGATGTGTCCAACACATGACTTTCCTATCTAGTTATTATAGGCTTTTTCCAGTTATTTTGTACAACCTATTGCAGCATCTCTATAAATATTTAGAGGATAAACTAAATATATACATTGTCCACATACATCTACCTCGAAACATTTTTCTATAGATATTAATTGAAAACGAAAATACTGAAAAATTTAAATTTAGCACTTTTCCTACAATTTTTCCATTACGGTCCATTTTAGAAAAATCATTTATGAACAAAAATTATTGAGATCGATATCGCAAACAACTTTTAGTTCAACAATTTTCATAAAAATCAGAAGTTTGCACATTTTGTCAAATTTCTCGAATACGGACTATTTCAGGAAATTTTGACATAAAACAGAAATTATAGATAATAATATTAGAAGTAACTTTTATTTGAACAATTTTTTTCTCTAAACATAAATAACAAATATATTCCATAAAATATAAAAACGGCCTCCAATAAAGTACCCCCCCAGATGTTCCGACTTAGTCCAAAATCTAATCATTTCACGTCAGGCCGAAATAAAACTTAAGTTTCAAATTTAAAGTTTTTTTTCTTTATACGTTTTTGAGTTTTCTTCAAATTTCGAAATTTACACATTTTCTCAAATATCTCAAATACGGTCCATTTTGGAGAAATTATGTATGGAATAAATATTATAGAGAATTATATTACAAACAACTTTTGTTTGATCAATTTTTATAAAAAAATATTTTTTTTTTTACATTTTGTCAAATTTCTCCAATACGGACCATTTTAGGAAAATTTTGCAAAGAACAAAAATTATAGATAACTTTTATTTGAAAAATTTTCTCACCCAAGCGTAAATAACTGATATATTCCATAAAATATAAAAATGACCACCTATAAAGTACCCCTTCAGATGTTCCGACTCTGCCCAAAACACACACACACACACACACACACACACACACACACACACACACACACACACACACACACACACACACACACACACACACACACACACACACACACACACACACACACACACACACATACACACACACACACACACACGCGAAAATAGCCAAAACGTAAAAATCCGTCGAAAACTCGAGGTCGAAAAAAATCATGATTCACATACTTTCCTTATATCTGTATACAGATAGGAAAGTAAAAATCAAAACTGCGTTTTAAAATCAAATGTTCAAATTTTCCTGCATTGACTTCCATATAATAATAAATTCTCTCGAAATAATAAAAAAAAAAATCAAAACATCTTCTTATCTTGCCTTCATTTTTTGTTCTTAGAAGGTGTCTATCACGTTTCTTCGATCACTTCATATGATTAAACAATTAATTTTTTTTAAATGTGATTTTTTTTGTACACCGTTGTAAAGAGGCTTTCAAGACCTTACAAATAAAGTATCATTTAACCCCCCTTCCCTATTCAATTTTGAGGGGTTGAAGCGCCCCCTCATAGGGGGTTGCTCGTTCAAGCCTCAAATATACGTCAAAAGATGTCCCTCAAAGAAAATCATCTGACGTGTTTCGGGAAATTTTTCCAATTACTATGGGATAAGAAATACGGGGTAGCTCGTCTGAGATGGAACACCCTGTATATTTTTACTATGAAAATAAGGTAGATGATGATATTTCGACCACAATAATAATATTTTATGCAGATACGATATTTTAGGTAAGGAAGGCAGTATAATTAGCCAGTTAATTAGTTGAGCAGTGTATTAAACTTAATATATTTTTATTACTTTTGAGTGTGGACGTAGATAAAAATTATTTATTTTTACTGAGGCAAGTACGTAGTGAGTACAGCGCTACGATATTTACAACAAAACCTTAACTTTAGATTCAGTAGAGATAGCAATTTATTATATTCGAAAGATTTCAAATACATTGCAGATGTTTGGGAAAATGCCACTTGATCGTCAGAAATGCAGACGTCTTTTAAACATAGGTAAAAAATTATCGACTTTGTTCAGAAGCTTTCGTTTTATCTGGTTTGAATTCAAAAACAAATACTCGTATATCTGCAACGGAAGGATATTTGGCATTTCAGATAAATACATACTGCTCAACAATTGAAGTGGATAATTTTGATTGTCTTGAAATTTAAGTTTTAAAATGGTAAAATTATATCCTTGTATAGGGGAAACTGGGGAGGGTTTGCCAGTTTTTTTAATAGCCATGATTTAAGTTTTACTAATTTTTTTAAATTTAAACCAGATGTACATAGTTGATCTTTTTTACATTTACTATAGTTAAGTACCTTCACTTTTTTTATTTCTCTAAATATTTACCAATTTTTTCAGCATTTTTTAAAAGTTGTCATTTGGGACATGCCTTCCTTTATATGGGAGATTTGACCAGAGGTAGGAAAGGTTTATTAAACACATATTTTCAACTTCACGACTAAATGCATCGATGAGTAGCATTAACATGTTTAAAACATAATGAAAACAAATTAAATACAAAAATAGGTAAAAAATCATAACATAATGAAAACAAATTAAACACAAAAATAGACAAAAAAATCAACATTTATGTAATAAATATTTGAAACATATCGAAAATATTTTAAATAAAACAAAAATCGGCATTTCACAAGCAATAAGCAAGCTGTAATACAAGAAACAAGAAAATGAGACAGAAAAAAACTATTGCACATTTTTAAAAGTAAAAAAGTCAAAGTGAAATGAAATTTTTAACATGGCGCGTTCTGTTCCATCTTTAGTAGAATAGATGAATGCATATTCAAGACCTGGCCTTCTTAAGAATGTTATTTCATATTCATTTCAGGAAAGCTTTGACAAAAATCTTCCTACGAAGTGGTGGTCGTTGGACCTTGTACAAAACTTTACCAAAGCAAAATCTCCAGCGCATGTCCAAATCGCTGAAATCTTCTGGATCAAGATTCTCCTCACTAGCTAGAGAAACAAAATCCTAACCATTATCAGAGCTTGAGGAAGAAGACTGTAACGCTTGCCTCCTAACTTTTTTGCTTCTGTTTGTTTATTACCCATTTTATTATGTCTTTCTTGTCTTCTTCAATATCGTCTTTATTTCGTGTTTTTGTTAAAATAAGTGATGTTCTTGGCTTTGTTCCTTCTCTAGTCCTTTTTCTAGGGCCTGCTTTCGGAAAAGGGTAGAATGAGTTTGGACTCAATCTTGCAAGACGTAGAAGTGGAAGAAATATTTTCTTTGTTGGTCTGTTCTGGCGTTAACGGGTGCACGGAAATTATATTGATTTTTTTTTTCTGTAAAGGGCAAGAAGACCAAGAGCCAGTGGTTGCAGTTTTGGAACAAGATGGTAAGGACGATGACGTGCAGATTACAGCACCCGTAGGAATTGGTCTGTCTGTTATGTATGCTCCTAAAAAGTCAGACTTATCAAAAATAGTTGAGTTAAACGGACAAATTCGGGTAGAATAAAAACCTTTTTGGATATTACCAGGAGTAAATGCTTTAGGAAATGCTTTTCCAACAAGTTCAGGAATGTCTTGAATTCTTGTCAGCTGTCTAGGATTATTAACCATGAAGTCGTCTGCTGCCTGATTGTAATATATCTTAAACGGACCAACTATAGACCGATCCAAAGGCTGCAAACGATGACTAGTGTGTAAGGAAAGAGTTAGTAGTGTTATACCGTTTTCCCTACAAATATTATTAACGCTAGGAGTAATATGGCTATCGCAGTTGTCTAGGTTCATCATCTTCAGATGCTTTGCTATACTTAATAAGATGTTCCAGAAACAGGTCAAAATTATCTCTAGTCATCCATCCGCTGGGATGTGTTACAACTTGAGAACCAGTAGGAGCGCCTGTGTACATAGCTTCATTTAAACGCTTTCATGGAAACACAAAAACGGGGGTACCAATAAACCTATTACTGAGATAGCACAACAGAGTGTTACCAAAGTCCCCTGTTCTCCTGACGTTTCTTTTGCCACTTGTTTTTTGCCCTTAACAGATATAACTCTGCCTGGTCTATGCACAGTTGTGATACCGGTTTCGTCTATATTGTAAATCGATTCCAGTCCAAATGTGTTATTCTTGAAAGCTTCCCTTAGATTTCCATAGAAAGACCCAAGCTTGTGGATGCAGGATGACGAAGGGATAGCTTAGGATGGCTTGCTATAAAACCTCTAAGCCAGTTATATCCATCTGCCTATTTTTCGTTCCAGCTTTTTGGAACTGTATGTGAGTATTAATGTCTAAAAAGTTGATTGATGAAATGCTTTGCGATGGTACTTATAACCATATGAATATCGTTACGGTTGGTTATTGATCCTTTTTATGCAAACATTTCAGTTTTGGAATTATTTGAACTTGGACCCAAGTTAAGGATTTAATTTGTTGTTATATAGCCTCAACATAATAGGAACACTCTATGATCAATATGGCGGACTTACCAGGGTTTTACCTAAAACTATTTTAATCCAATTGACTAACTGAACAGCATTTACTTATTTATAGAAAAATAAATATACTAGAATATAGTGTTTTATTATATTATGTTAATCGGATCGGTGGCGCAGGTTTCTAAGGAGCCCGAATTCATTTGCAAGCAATTTTGTGGTTGAGAGACACCCAGCTTCGAATCCTATAGAAGATCACGTGAATTTATTTGACTGGTTTTCTATAAGATTTGATAGGTGCCGTATTAGCAGAAATTAAATTGCTGTTGATATAAAAATCTTACCTTACATTACCGTTTTCGATGATAATGGGTGGGATTTTTCGGGTTTTCCTCACCATCAATCATCTCCCCGGAGTGCCACGGCTTCAGATGTTAAAATTAACTCGTAAAGGGATGAATTAGAGAAAGTATTATTATTGTTAGTAATTTTATATTTATCTAAGTTTGTAACATGTAGAATATATTAATAATATGAAAACCAAAATAAATAATGGTGTTCATATACATTTCTAGATATAAATTAGTAATTTCATTTCTTCATAATTGTTTTTTTGTTGTAAATCAAAATTTTTAAATTTTGGAAATTAATTCTAATTTATTTTTGAACATCACGGACTCTTATCACTTTTATTATTATGCAAAATATTTCAATAATACGCTGTATATGCATCGAAAAAAAGCTTAAAAGCAAAAGTGATTGATTAGGTCGTGTTTTGAAAATAGTTTTGGGTTTAATCGCCTTTTAGTTATAGTTTAGATTATAAACTCGTATTTTAGCTATTTTAATGTAGTAATCTTGACAAAAATGATCATTAAATTACGATATAAAAGCAGTAAACATATTTTAATGCAAATGCAATTCTGCAATAAAAGTTTAAATAGTGCAATAAACCTGATCACCTGATCTCAAGTTCGACTTTCGTCGTTTTCGTTACAAGATTTAAATTAGAATGTTTTACTACTACACTGTACTAATTTACAAAGAATCTACTTTTATTTTCCTAATAATACAATATAGTCCAATCATTATAGTAAGTTCACCTCGGAATTCGAGATACTCAGCTGTAAGTCTGTAAATACTTGTATATTGACACCCTAAAAGTTGTCTCAAAACCTACATATGGTAGGGTGTACGCATCTATTAAATTTCAAGGTCAAAGGTCACAAAAATCGTTTTTTTGCGCTTTTTTTGTAAATATCTCATTTCCTATGGGTTTCTTGCTATTTGTATTTATTATCAATATTGTAGAATACAAAATTCTCTAAAAATTTTCTTAAAAAAAATTTTTCATACGGTGAACCGTTTTCGAGATAGATGACGGAGAGCGCGCGGTCACAGCATCACTTCAGGTCAACCGGTGCCTCCGGTCGAAAACGCGCCATATATAGTTGATGAAATATCGATAAATCAATTATTATAAATATTTGTCAATTTTTATTAACTATTATATTATATTTTATCATTTTTTTTCCTAACCTATCCACTTTTTATTTAGTATTAATTTATTTAACAACACTTACCTGCCCATGTAATTGCAAAATTGTTAATGAAAATATAGGAATTATATTTGAATTTTAACCTAATTAATATTAATAAATTCTTACATGATGAAAAAAAAAACAAATAAATTATGAATTAATCTTTTTATTAAAAAATTTCATTCAATACATTTATTTTTATTAAAAAAATGGAATAAAAGGTACAAAAACTACAATTTATAATTTTAATAATCTTCTTCCTCTTCATCGTCGTCTTCCCGCTGCTGGTAAATTTCAAACTGGTCTTCATTATCGTCTTCAACGACATTTCTCTCAAGTTCTTCCATGATTTCGGGGTCAAAGGTTCCATCTTCGTTAATGTCGCTCTGATATGGTAGAACATTGAGACAAGCTTGCCCATTACATTGGCCACAAGCTAAAGCGCATTGCAAGCCCGCTTTCCTGCATCCGCATCGCGAACCACAACCACTCTTGCAGTTGCAGAAAATTGTATTTAGCAGATCTTCTGGAGCAGGTGGTAAATTTGTCATCATAGGCTCCAGAAAATCGTTTCGCATTGCCCAACTCCATACCTGGGATTCCAAATCATGCCTTAACCAAGTTTGAACTTAATAATATACACGTTTGAAAGGTTGATGAGCAGCTGCTTTTGTTGGTGGAATATTTGAAAGCTGCACAGGTTAATTAAGTTTTGTAGACTTGACGTAATGCATATAACGAAGATGATCGAGACTTTTCACAGATTTCGGAGCATTATAGACTGCCAATAAGATTTGAGTTCCACTCTCTAATAATCTCTGGGCCGAACAATTTTCTTTTTCAAATGCTGCAGCTAGTTCATTCAAATTTGTCAGTTTCTCAAAAACTTTAAAAAATGATTTTTTCCCTTTTTAAAAAGCGCAGAAGTTGTGTCACAGCCACTTAATGCGTGCAGAAATAAAATATGTGTTTTGGAATGAGGATAATTATCAAAACTTTTAGTCAAGTATATCCCCGTTTTTACATTTCCTTTCCCAACTTTTTTAAAGAAAATGTCTTGTTCGTAAGACAGTGTACGCCCAATTAAAATGGCAAGTAAATCAATATCTTGTCCTATTATAACTGCTGTTTTTTCAGAATTTGATTCTTCAATTGCAGTTTCAACAATAAGAACATCAGCATTATCTCTGGCTTGTTTAGTAGTAATATTAGCAGCTTGTAATTTTTCAATTAACATATTAATGAGCATATCTTTGTTATTTCGATTTGATAAGAATTTTTCTTGAGTAACTGGTACAACTATTGTTTCATCTTCTCTGCTGCTCCATAGCTTTTACGTTCTTACTGTAATCTGAATTTTTTTAAACAAAATTTGTAGAGAATTTTGTATTCTACAATATTGATAATAAATACAAATAGCAAAAAACCCATAAAAAATGAGATATTTACAAAAAAGCGCAAAAAACCGATTTTTGTGACATTTGACCTTGAAATTTAATAGTTGCGTACACCCTGCCATATGTAGGTTTTGAGATAACTTTTAGCGTGTCAATATACAAGTATTTACAGACTTACAGCTGGGTATCTCCAGTTCCGAGATTCTTACCTAATTTAAGCTTAAATGACTGGACTAATAATGTATTGTAGGAGGAGTAAAATATAAAAAGAATGAGGTGTCTATTCTTTATTGTAACAAGTTTTCCTCAATTTTTTTTTAATAATTCTTGATTTCGAGAAAAACATTATTAATCTCGTGGTTTCTAACGTTTAAAGCGCTGCCTTATATAGTTGATATATGACAATGTTGCCTATTAAATGACTACAGTTCTGAAGGGTCTAATAACATTATCTACAAGTATTAAAAGTAGTTTTAAAAAGCGACTTCAAAATCGTGCAAATGCCGTCACCACATCTTAACCAAAAATAGAATCATAGAAATCGGACAAGGGTAAAGAATTATCGCTAAACATACATAAAAAATTAAGAGTTTAAGGATTTTTGTTATGGACCCAATTATTAGATTTTGACCAAATTTATATGGAA